CTCGCGGGCACCTGGGTTGTGTGGGCTGCTGCGGGGTGGGGGGGGCACAGGCGAGCAGCCCCCTGCTTGTGGTGCTGGGGGAGGGGGAGCGAGACCCGTGGGCAGAGCCCGCTGCGGTGGGGGGCATCGGGCAGGATGGGGCCCTCCCGCTGCCCCTGGGGGGGCTGTGCTCACTCAGCAGGGCAGGGGGGCTGTGTCCCGCAGGAGTCCAATGGCCCCACGGATGCCTACGCCGCCATCGCCAAGGCGGACCGGCTGACCCAGGAGCCCGAGAGCCTCCGCAAGTGGAGGGAGGAGCAAAAGCAGCGGCTGCAGGAGCTGGGTGAGCAAGCAGGATGGGGCCCTCCCGCTGCCCCTGGGGGGGCTGTGCTCACTCAGCAGGGCAGGGGGGCTGTGTCCCGCAGGAGTCCAATGGCCCCACGGATGCCTACGCCGCCATCGCCAAGGCGGACCGGCTGACCCAGGAGCCCGAGAGCCTCCGCAAGTGGAGGGAGGAGCAAAAGCAGCGGCTGCAGGAGCTGGGTGAGCAAAGGGAAGGGGGGTGCGGGAGCCAGCCTGCGCCCCCACCCCCCCCTGGGGCGCAGCCGCCCGCGCCGCCGTGACCGTCTTCTGCCCCGGCCACAGACGCTGCCTCCAAGGTGCTGGAGCAGGAGTGGCGCGAGAGGGCCAAGAAGGAGCTGGAGGAGTGGAACCTGCGGCAGATTGAGCAGATGGAGAAGAACCGGGTTAACAACAGGTGTGGCCGGGGCCGGGGGGGAGGTGGGGACCCCCAGGAGCGCTCCAAGCTGCCGGCAGCAGTGGCACAGGGTCCCCTGGCCCTTCCTGGAGCCGGGAGGAGCTGTGCCTAGAAATAGGGGCTGACCCCACCTCCCTCCCCATGCAAGGCCTCGTCCTGGGGGCCCGGGTCCTGCATCAGCCCGACCCCACTGCCTGCCACGCAGGGGCCAGGCGTAGCCGGGGTCTCTGCCTGGTGGAGCGGGGCGTGCTCCTGCCGGCGGTGCGCGGGCACTAACACCTGCCCTCTCTGTCTGTCTAACCCGCCTGCCTGTCGCTCTGCTACTTCTCTGTCTGCTGCTCCTGGGCTAGGATTGCTGACAAAGCCTTTTACCAGCAGCCGGACGCCGATGTGATCGGCTATGTGTACGTGCCCCTCTCTCTCGCTCTCTCCCTCTCTGTTTCTGTTTCTCTGTCCTTCCGGCTGGGGATTTCCCTCTGCCTGGTGTGGGGGTCTGCAGGGCTGTTGGGGTCTGGTGGGGGTGTCCATCCAGCACCTCCCACAGTGAAGTCCCCAGAAGCGAGTGGAGCTGCAAGGTGTGGAGGAAGGGGGTGAAGTGGCGGCTGCATGGGGGCTGCATTAAGAGCCCACCCCCCTGGTGGGGGGGGTCTCTGGGGTGGCAGAGGAGCCCTGGGCTTGTGCACCTGCCAGGAGCCTGTTCTTAACCAGACTGCAGAGCCCCTGTGCCCGAGGGATGGGGAATGGGGGGCATGGGGAAACGGGGGCATTGCGGGCAGTGGGCAGACAGTGGCTGACCCCCTATCCCCGCAGGGCCTCGGAGGAAGCCTTCCTGAAGGAGTCGAGGGAGGAGGACCCGGGCACGGAGTGGGAGAAGGTGGCGCAGCTCTGCGACTTCAACCCCAAGAGCAGCAAGCAGAACAAGGACGTCTCCCGCATGCGCTCGGTGCTCATCTCCCTCAAACAGACGCCCCTGGCGCGCTAGCCCAGCCGGAGCGCCGCAGGGGCCGGCACAGGGGCACGGCCCCCCACCAGCTTGCCTGGATGCGCGCAGCATGTGGGGCCCGTGGTGGCCAGCAGGGGTGCAGCCCCTGCCGTGAGCACCTCCTGCGGGCGGGTGGCTGTCGCTGTCCCCCTGGTTTTCCTTTGCTTAAAGGGTGCGTTGGTCTTTTTACACTTATTTATTACCGTGGTGGTTCCCTCGGTGGCGGGTGGGGTGGCTGGGCTGGGGCTCCTCCCTGCCAGGCCCCTGTTGCAGGTACCCCCTCCCCAGCCGGTGCCTGGGCCCAGGCTGGCTGTGATGTTGGAGGTAGGAGTGTGACATCACCGTCTGTTTGCGGCTCAGCTCATGAGGAATTGGGATGTGCAGGGCTGGGGCAGGGGCAGGGGCTTGGGTGGGCAGGAGGGCCTGGCCTGGGGTGGTGTGTGGGGGCTGGAGATGCTGAGCAGGGCAAGGGAGGAGCCTCCCCCAGGGACCCTGTCCTCTGGGTCCCACTAGGAGCTTCCTGCCCCCTGGCTCCAGCCTGAATGGAGCTGCCTCGATGACTGCTGCTGTGAGGGGATGCTGAGCTTGGGTGGCTGACTCTCCTCCTCCCAGCAAGGCTTTGGCCCCCTGCCCAAGCTCCTCGCTGGTAGCAGGGGCAGGTGCTGGCTCTGTGCTGGGTAGGTCTGACCTAGCCCCTTCTGGCTCAGCCCCCAGCCCTGGGATCCCAGCCTGTGCTGAGGCCTGGTCCAGGAGCCTGAGATCTGCTCCCTGCTGGGCTGCGTAGACACCATATCACCTCTTGGGCATGTGCTCAGCCACCTGTCTGCAAGGGCCTGGTGGGTGGGGAGGGCTGGGTACAGCTGGCCGGGAACTCGGGGCAAAGTCCACAGCATGTGGCCTGAGCCTTGCCTTAGGAGACCCTCTCCAGCCCCACCCAGGCTGGCTCTGCAGGGCGTTGGCTCTGGGGTGCAGGAGGCTGCTGGCTGGGTGTGGAGCTGCCCAGCAGGGCAGGACAGGAGTGTGCTGCTTTGCACAGCTGGGGCTGAGCTGGTGCGGGGAGGAGGGGATGGCAGCCCACAGACCCAGGCAGCTCTGCCTGCCCCTTTGCTGCTCCAGGGGCCAGAGAGTGGGGCCTACCTCACTCTTGCAGCTGCTGGCAGAGCCCCCTTCACTCTGCCCTAGGAAGCCTGTTCTGGGAAGCCCCAGGGAGGCTGTTGCTTGCGCCCCGCAGAGAGAAGCCCCCAGGCTTCCCCAGCCGGCCCTGACTGCTGCTGTCACCTGGGAGAGAAGGGTCTGTCCTGGGACACCTGGCTCTGGGGAGGGCTGCGCCTGTGGCTGTTCTGTGTGTCCCCAGCTTTGGTATCTGTGACCTTATCCAAGCCACTTGTTACAAATAAACTGACAACTCCAAACCCAGGAGGTGCTGCCCTTTCCTTCCTCACTCGTTCCTCGTTCAGGCTGGAGGGGCAACTCGGAAGCAGCTGCTGTGCTGGGAGCCCACAGGCTTGCTGGCAAGGGGAGGCCAGGAGCCGGGTAAAGGAAAGGGTGGGAATGGGGCAGGGGGGCTGGTTTCATAGTTGGTCGGGTTGGAAGGGACCTGAGCAGATCATCAAGTCCAACCCCCTGCCATGGGCAAAAAAGGATGCTGGGGTCAAATGACCCTGGCAAGGTGACTTGTGCCCTCCTTTAAAACCCCCCGAGGGTGGGAGCCAGCACCACTTCCCTTGGAAGTTGGTTCCAGATCCTAGCCGCCCTGACTGTGAAGTAGCATCTCCTGATGTCTTGCCTGAACCTACCCTCTATCAACTTATGGCCGTTATTCCTTGTTACTCCTGGTAGTGCTCAGGGGAGCAGGGACTCTCCCGTTGCCTGCTGGTCTGCCTTTGTCTATTTATAGATGGCCACCAGATCCCCTCTCAGCCTTCTCTTGTGGAGGCTGAACAGGTTCAGGTCCTGTCACCTCTCCTTGTAGGGCCTGCCCTGCTGCCCCCTGATCATGTGGGTGGCCTCCTCTGGACCCTCTCCATGCTGTCCACATCCCTCCTGAAGTGCGGTGCCCAGAACTGGACGCAGTACTCCAACTGCGGCTTGACCAGTGTCGCATAGAGGGGGAGGATCGCATTGGATCTGCTCGTGATGCGTCTGGATGCCAACAAGGCCTTCCTGACCGCGTCCCCACGCCGTCAGCCCATGTTCATCTTGGAGTCAATAATGATTCCAAGATCCCTTTCTGCCTCTGCACTGACAAGAAGGGAGGTCCCCAGCCTGTAGGTCTGCTGCTGGTTCTTCCTCCCCAGGTGCAGCACCCTGCACTTGTCAGTATTGAATCCCATCCTGTTCTCATCCGCCCACCCCTGTAACCTGTCTAGGTCCGATTGCAGCCTGTCCCTCCCTTCTAGTGTGCCCACTTCTCCCTGCATCTTAGTGTCATCTGCGAATTTGAACAAGGTGCTTTTCAGCCCCTCGTCCAAGTCGCTGATGAAGATGTTGAACAGTGTGGGTCCGAGGACCGAGCCCTGGGGGACCCCACTGCCCACAGCCCTCCAGGTTGAAAATGACCCATCCACCACCACCCTCTGGGTGCGGCCCTCCAGCCAGGTAGTGACCCATCTGACTGTGTAGGCATCAACGCCACAGTCACCTAGTTTATTAATGAGAATGGGATGAGAGACAATGTCGAAGGCCTTCCTGAAGTCCAGAAAGACTACGTCCATCGCAACACCTGCGTCTAAGGCTTTTGTGACCTGGTCGTAGAAGGCCACCAGGTTGGTCTGACAGGACCTGCCTCAAATGAACCCATCTCCCCTGCTTGCCCCTTGCAGATGTGCACCCAGATCATTTTCTTAAAGAGCTTCCCCAGGACTGAGGTTAAGACTAACAGGCCTATAGTTTCCTGGGTCCTCTCATGGGGTTTGGGGCACGCTGTCCCTCTGGCAGAGTGGCTCAGAGCCTGGCTGGGCTGGACAGGAGCAGTGGCCCCTTGCCTGGAAGGGTGTCTGTGGTGCAGCTGCCTGGCGCAGTCTGACCCTGGAAGTGGGGGGAGTGACGAAGCCGAAATACGAATGTCTTCCCAGAAGCGTTTATTATATGTTGCTTCTTCCTGGCTGAACCCGGATGCTCCTGCCCCTGGGGCCCAGCCGCCCTTCCCCAGACACAAAGGACACCGGTTCTGCGCAGCACCAAGACTCCAGGGGAAACTTCCCACCGACCGGCAGGTTTCAGGGCTACGCAGAGGTGCTGCCCCAGGCAGGACCGGGCCCACCTGGCTGGCAGCATCACTACCCTTTGCTTTGCCCCTTTGCCCACCAGCACATCGCACTCCACTGCACACGCGCACTCCCCTCCCAGCGGGTCTGGCAGAAGAAGAGATTAATCGTAGCTCCTGGAGCTCTGACAGCGCTGGCTAGAGAAGGGTCCTCAGTAAGAGACTCCTTCTCTGTTCTGGGACTCCTCCACTCAACAGCAAGCCTGGTCTAATGCATCTGCGTAGACTTTATCACCTGGGGCGTCTGCAGATGCAGGCAGGGCTGTTCCCTCTGGGATCTGAATTTGCAGAACAGTGTGGTCTAGTTCTTGAACCATGGGGAGAAGTTTTATGCAGTGAAAATCCTGCTAGAAACTGGCAAAACAACCTTTAGGGACCCCACAGCAAGTGAGCCCCAGCTCGGGAGATGTCCCATCCGCACTAAGGGGGAACCGCATTGGCCGCGTCCCATCTGCACTGCTAGACCATGGTGGGAGCAGGCCCCTGTCCTCATCCTCCATCCTACTTAAGGCCCTTTTGCAGTTTCCCTCCTGCTCTGCAGCATTGGGGCCAGACGCTCGCTGCCACCTGCACTGCACTAGCCCCAAGCCCAAGTGGGAAGGGGGGGCACCTAACAGATCAAACAGCCCACCACGGGACGCAATCGCTCGCTGGACAGGATCTAACCAGCCAGGAGGGCTGTCCCCTCCCGGCCAAAGGGTTTTGCTCCAATGTCCTTCTAACCCTCCACGTATGCCGTGATCCTGCACGGGTTCCCACGCGGCCTGCTGCCCACCAGCGATGCCAGCCCGCTTTAATAAGGGCAGGCGGGAAGGCTGTCCGGAGACACTGCCACCCCGGAAAGGCTGAGCGCCGCTGGCGGCAAGAAAGCTCACGGCTCAGGGTTGGGGTTGAATCACGGAGGTGTATTGGCTGCAGCCGGGGCGGTCCCGGTGCCCACGGCTTGGCCTCCTCTCCCGGGTTTCAGAGCCGTGACCACCACCCCCACCACGAGGGCGGCGATGGTGAAGCCCTGCGCCAGGATCCGGGCCCGCATCATCATCTGCGACTGCTGCCTGTCGCCCTTCTTGAAGCAGACGAGGCCGTAGGTCAGAGCCCCCACGGTGCCCAGGCAGCCTGCGGGGACGCGGGAAGCGGGTGGGCAGGAGGCCGGA